CTCCCCGAAGGCCCGCCATGGAGAAGTACCACGTCCTGGAGATGATCGGCGAAGGCTCCTTCGGGCGCGTGTACAAGGGGCGCCGGAAACGCAGCGCCCAGGTGAGGAAAGAGGCGGCCGGGGGTCTGCTGTGTGGCGCTGGGGACCGATTTCTGGGGGCTGTCGGGTTCCAGGGCCCTGCCAGGGCTTTGGGACTCTGCACTCATTCATCTGTCTGCTGACATTCCTGGCCAGCTCCTGCTGGCGTGGAGTCATTCAGGTGCAAGGGGCTTTAGGGGCTGTCCGGTCTGTCCCCTGCTCAAAGCAGAGTCACCACTAAATTCAGATCCTGAAAAACTGCAGGGACAAAAACCCCACAACCAGTGCTTGACTATACTTGGGGTGATGGTTTGTCCTTACCTCAAGTTGAAAGCTCCCCTGTTTCAGTTTCTAATCCCTGTCTCATCCTCCTGCCTTGCACGTCTGTAATGAGCCTGGCTCCGTCTTCTCTGACACCTCCTTTTGGGAATCACAAGATTACTATTTGGCTTCCCTGAGCATTTTTTCTCCAGGCTAATCAAGCTCATTTCCCTCAGCCTCAACTTGTACACCATGTGCTTCAGTCCCCTTGCCATCCTGATGGCCTCTGCTATACCCACTCTGGCCTATTGATGTCTTTCTGGGCCAAAAACGGGCCACAATATTGCCAGTATGGTCTAACAAGTGTCAAGTAAAGGGCAATAATCACTTCTCTTAAAGTTCCGTCTCTTGGTACAGCCCAGGGTGCTGCTAGTGCTCCTCACTGCCAGGGCACGCTGCTGTCTCGCATTTAGCTTGCTGTCCACCAGTGTCTCTAGCTCCTGTCCCATGTTTCTGTCAGTCCTATTTTTGTCTGTGCTACTGATTAGATTGGTTTGCTTTATGTGCTAGTGTGAAAAGTACTGTGAGCACCAGTGTCCATGTGCAAGGGCCTGGGGATAGCCCTGGCTTCAAGGGCTCCAGTGAACAAATGTCTCATTCGGTGTGCTCAGCTGGAAAATGCTGAGACCTGTTTGGGTTAAATGCAGCCTCTGCCAGGGTGGGTGGGAGCCTGGTCTGATCCCAGCTTTGCCTGCTTTGAAAGGTGGTGGCCTTGAAGTTCATCCCCAAGGTGGGGCGGTCTGAGAAGGAGCTGAAGAACCTGCAGCGGGAAATTGAGATCATGAGAGGCCTCCATCACCCCAACATCATCCAGATGCTCGACAGCTTTGAGACCGACAAGGAGGTGAAGGGGACTTTCTTGGGGCAGATGCTTTTGCTTGACTGGGGCGGGGGAATGAGGGCTGACCCTTGCTGTTGTAGGGACCTCTTGCTCAGGAGAAGCTGGTGACACCCTCGCAGGTCTCTAGCAGCTCTTCCAGCCAGCCAGGTTTGCTCTGTTGCCAGCTGTTTCCTGGCTTGTGTTGAGTGCTGTCATCCTGCCACCAGCCTACTCTGCTCCCTCAGCTAGCCATGTTGAGGTCTCCTGCCCTCAGGGCATTCCCACCCTCCCCGAGGACATGCAGGGACCTTACGTGGGGGTTGCCTGAACAAGGACTGGGACATCAGCCTGGTCAGTGTTTTTCAGAGCCCTCCAGTATGTGATGTGTGGGGAGCCAGCACCTGGCTGGGGTATGTGGGGAGTACTGGGTCATACACAGAGGTGAACGAGCTGGGCGGGGGGTGTGTGATGAAAGAGGAGTCGTTTGGGATCACAGGGTGGGAGTGGGATCTTCAGAGACCGTGACTTTTCACTGGCCGAAACTGTCACAGAGAGAGTGTGATAGGGAAGGACTGAAGACTATGCTGTGGGACATGGGGGGCACGAAATGCAGTAATTGCACAGCAGGTTCAAAACAAGCTCAAGGGAGTGATTCTACCCACTGGGCATGGAAGCACCATTCTGAACTTGTCCTGTCCTTCCCTCTTCTCTGGTTTCTGCTGGCTGTCTGAGATAAGGACAACTGTAAGGGCTCTGCTAAATGCCAGGCCCTTGCTGCAGTGCGGCCACAGGGCTCTCTCCCACCCTGGATCCCAGCCCAAGCTGATGGGCTGTGCATGGTGACACTCCAGTATCTCCCTCGTCAATTTACTGGCCTGCTCTGTCTTGGCCCCTAGGGCGTGGTGGGGATGTGGCTGGGTGATTGCCTGATCCCACCATACTGCTCTTCCCTCCAGGTGGTGGTGGTGACTGACTACGCAGAGGGGGAGCTCTTCCAGATCCTGGAGGACGATGGGAGTTTGCCCGAGGACCAGGTGACTGTCATGGCGGTGGCCACAAAGTGTTTGCTGCAGGGTGGAGAGAACAGGATTTGTCTGCCTACAGGCAGCAGGTCTCTGCTATGGGTCAGGAGACATCAGGAGGGTGAGCGTGTCTCCGAGGATTTACCTGGCAGAGCTTCTGAAGAGGAGGGAAAGGGGGCCAGGTTCTGCTGGGGGACAGTTTCCCTGTTCCCTCTCTAAGGAGAACACCACCAGGTTGCTGCCTCGGCCACCAGCCTACTCTGAGGAACTGCTGGCCCACAGCTGGGGGTGGTCCCTGCCCCAAACAGGGCAAGGGCAGGAGCGGGGATACTGAGGGAGCCAGGCTGTAAGGGACGCTGTGATTGTGCTGGCTGGTGGTACCATGGGACACAGGGTGAGGCTCCTGTGTCTCCGGCAGGTCCAGACCATAGCTGCCCAATTGGTCTCTGCGCTCTATTACCTGCACTCCCACCGCATCCTGCACCGCGACATGAAACCCCAGAACATCCTGCTGGGCAAAGACGGCGTCATCAAGCTCTGTGACTTCGGGTGAGTACTGAGGGGGACACTTGGGCTTGGGGCAGCCAAGGGGTGTCTTGGGTGCTGTAGAGGAGGAGGGGGGAGTGTGGAAGGGAACCTGGATTCTGTGCATATTTAGAAGTTGAGCAGGGATGGGGGATTTTGAACTCCAGAGGGGAGAGGTGTTGGTAAACTCGTAGGGATCTCCCTGGGAGCTGCACCAGAAATTTCAGCCTGAACTGTCCATCTCTGCTTTGCTCTGAGCAGGTTTGCCCGTGCCATGAGCATCCACACCATGGTGCTGACCTCCATCAAGGGCACCCCACTGTACATGTCCCCTGAGCTGGTGGAGGAGCGGCCGTACGACCACACGGCGGACCTGTGGTCTGTGGGCTGCATCCTGTATGAGCTGTTTGTGGGCACTCCTCCCTTCTACACCAGCAGCATCTTCCAGCTTGTCAGCCTCATTGTCAAGGACCCCATCAAATGGCCCGAGACCATAAGCCCGGTCTTCAAGGTAAGGGCGAAGGCCCTGTCTGTGGGGTGGCATGTGTTAACGCAGCAGCACCTTTGGCCTTGTCTGCTGCCCTTGTGGGTTAGTCTTAGGTTTTATGTCCCCTAGCAGGGATTTCAGAACATGGAGAAGGGATGAGAGCTTGGCCTCCTGGGTGGGGGACCCTTATCACTGCTGTCCATCTATAAGGTGGGAAACTGGAGCTGACAGCAGAGGATTGATTTACTGAGCTGGGAAGGGAAGTGTCTTCCCATCTGCCCTAAGCACTGGAGCCTCTCCTTCCCCAGAGCTAGGCAGGGAACGCAGGCCTCCTGGGCGCTCTCACTGTGGGGACTGGCGGGTACACTGTGCTAACTGGTGGGGGCTGAGCACGTGTCAGTGACCCTGGCACTGTGCTGCCCTGTAGAGCTTCCTGCAGGGACTACTAATGAAGGACCCCCGCCAGCGTCTGTCATGGCCAGAGCTGCTCTCTCATCCCTTCATTGCTGGACGGGTTACTGGTGAGTACCAGCTCTTTTTCCAGTGCTGGACAGGTCTGTTTCCTCCTCCTAATGCCTGGAGGCTGGGAGGACCACCCTGGCCTGCTTTTTTCACTGCCTTGTTCTTTGTCTCCCTCCGCTCAGCTTCCCCCAAGCCTTGATTTTTAGCTGCTGCTGCTAGGCTTACTCTGGGTCCCCCCGGGATTCCCCTGGGATCCCAGAGCAGGTCACCCTCCCCGTGTCCCAAGGGAGAACTGCTGATGAAGTTCTCCCCTTGCCTCCCCAGTGATTGATGACACAGAAGAGCACGGGATCTCAAACCCCTTCACCACGAAACTATCCCCGGAACTGCAGGCCCTGAAGGAGCAGCAAGCCCATTCCCTGGCCCCCAGGAGCGGCCAGTCCAGAATTCTGAGAAAGGCCCGTCAGAAGATGGCTGAGGAGGCACAGAAAAAGGTGGAGGAAAGTGTGGGATTCCCCTGGCTGTGTCCCAGGGCAAAGGAGGGGCACTGAAATGGGACCTGGGGGGAAAGACAGAAGGTACGTGGGTCAGGCTGGGGTGTCAGCCACATACATACAAGGCAGTATGTGGGGTCCTCAGGCTGGTGGGGTCTACGGGGCTCATCTGTCTGTCTGAATAACCCTGCCCTGACCAAACTTCTTTGCTATCACCTAGGGGCAACTGAAGGCAGGTGACGCATCTACGAAGGACTCTGGCAAAGGATGCCTGGGACATAGACCCAGAGCAGCTCCTGGGAAGGCAGCCCTCGTGTTGGGGGAGCCACCGGCTGCCTCCAAAGAGAAGAACCCCAGCATCCTGCAAGGAAAGAGCAGCATGGCAGAATGGGAGTTGGAAGAGCCTCCACCCAACCCACGGTGAGGGAGGGCTGGGGCTGGGAGAGGAGGAAGAGGAGAAGGCAGGGTCGCTCACTGATTGCGCTGTTTCCTTGGCCAGGGAGCACAGCATCACTCGAGACTACGAGCAGGAGTTTCCTGGAGCAGGGACCCCTCTGCAGCCTGGTGCTGGCAGAGCAGAGCCCCAGGGCAGGCGCAGCATCGAGACCGTGGACCTGGAGAGTGAGGTAAGACAGTGTCTTGTGGTGAGGACAGCAGGGTCCAGTCCCCAGGGGCTGGTACAGAGACCCTGGGGCAGGCAAGGTGTGTGGCACCAGCCCTCTCTCCTCTGTGGCTAGGAGCTGGAGAGTGATGAGGAGTGGCAGCACCTGATCGAGGCCACAGAGCCCTTGGCCATGCAGCTGAGCACACCACTGAGCCTCCTGAGGGACCTGGCCTTCCAGCACCGTGTCCAAGCCCGCCTGGCAGACTCCGCTCAGCAGGTGAGTGATGGCTGGCTCAGACAGCTATGGCTGGGGACATGGATGCTGCCTTCTTCCCAAAGATTGGGTCAGGAGCATGGGGAGAGTCCTCAGTCCAGCCAACAAGGACATCCTTTGTTTCTCCAGGAGCTGGAGCTGTCTCGTGCACTTAGCTTGCCTGCTATCCCCTGCCTGAGGGGGTGGAGGGCTGCCCTGTGGCTGACGGAGAGGCCACAGTCATTGCTGATCATGAGCCCTTCTGGCTCCTCTGTGTCCAGGTGCTGGAAGGGATGCTGGAGGGAGCCTCCCGTCTCCGTCCTGTGCTCCGCGTCATAGGCAACCTCCTGGCTACCCAGTGTGACTCTGAGCTGCTGGACCACTTCTGCCGAGAGCTGAATGTGCCTCTGTCCCTGCTGTGTCTAGCCAAGCAAGTCCTGGAGAGTGGTAGTGCCAAGCAGGTGGGTGTAGGGTCCCAGAGAAATCTGGGCTCCTTCCAGATGTGCAGAGTGCTGGTGATGAGGAGGCCCTGGTGTTCTGCTGGAGCTGGCTCACAGGACTGGTGCCTCTTCCAGGCCCCCTGGAGAAGGGGGAGGTCCTGGCAGGGAAGGATCCCACCACGGTGGTGTTGGGATGGCCAGCAGACAATCCCCACTTGCTGTTTCTTTCTGGATCCTGCAGCAGCCCTGGTGTATCATGGTGCTGACAGACCTCCTCATGGTGACCACGGTTTATTTCAGCAGTGAATGCAGCCTGGAGGAGAGTGAGCAAAAGGACAGGTAGGGACAACCCTCTGTGCCCTGAGGTGTCTTGTGGCCACTGTGGGGACCCAGCAAGTAAGCAGTAGGGTGATGTTCATGCTCTCTGGCTGGAGCTGTCTCCGTGGGGAAGCTTCACAGACTTAAGTGCTTCATGCTGTACCACTGTGGTCACAGAGGAGTGCTTTCCATGAGTGGGACTAATTAAAGGGAAGGCACAGCTGACTAGAGTCCAGTTGTGCTGCCTGCTGGCAGCTAGCTCACAGTGCTAGTGTGTGCTGCCTGCTGTAGTAGGCAGGGCCATATGGGCCTGGCCAGACCTTGTCCTCACAGTCAGGGCCTGTGTTTCTCTGCTCTCCTCTGCCCCTGCCACCTCCCCCAGCCTGCAGGCGTTCCATGAGTGTGCTGGCTGCTTCCTAGCCCTGCTGCCAGAGCTGCTGACCGAGCCAGCCAACAGCGAGATGAGACTCTGCCAGCAAAGTCTCCTGGTAAGGGTGCCCCTGTCTCCCTTCTTCCCAACCCTCTCCCCCAGGAACAGAAGCTGTTGGGGCTGGGTGTGCATGTCAGGGAGAGCGCAGGCTGTGGACCCTGCTCCCAGCTGTAGGGTCTGATGTCAGGGCAGACTGTCTTACCCACTGGGGGTTTTGGGGGGGATCACATGCAGAAACAAGCTCTGAGGGGACACCTTCCCTGGCTGTGCCTCCATGTGTATGCTTCTCTCAGCAAGAGTTACTGGCTCCCACACGGTAACCTGTTGGGAGAGGACACTTGGAAGTCCCTGGAGTTCCAGCACGAGTCCTTCTCCCATCTCTGCTGTCCCCCCACAGCCTCCTCCCCCATCGCCCTTCTCTCTCATCCCACCCTTGATCTGCAGTGATGGCCACCCCTGTGTCTCCCCCAGTGCTTCACCCTGCTCTGTGAGAGCCTGGATGCGACGTGCCCTACCGTCTCTGCCCCCTTCTATGCCAGCCTGCGAGAGGAGCATCAGCCCTTGCTAAACAGACTCCTCCAGGGATCCGTCTCAGAGCAGCCTGCTCTGCGAGGTAGCGATGGTGGCAGCTCGATGCCTTCTCCTGGGGTTTCCCCTCTTCCTCCTGCCCTTAGGCTCCCTCAGAGCACTGACTGCCATTGCAGTGCTGTTTGCTGGAGAAGGTGGCTGAAGCTTATCTGCACAAATCCCTGCTAACCAGGGCTCTCCTGTTCTCTCCCTCAATCCCAAATCTCACCCTCCTCGTGTCACAAGCTTGACTTTTCCTCTCTTGGCCTCCAGCCCCATCCTGCTGCCCCTCAGCCTCCTTAACCCTTAGCACATGTCTCCTGAGCTCTGTCCCTGTGCAGCTGCAGCGATGGAGGCCAAGTCAGCCCATGACCAGAGCCTACGTGTGGCAGACCTCTTCACGGCTGCACTGGCTGCTGCCTGCAGCATTCCCCTGGAGAGGAGCAGCTGTCGGGAAGGCAAGCAGCAGGTCAGGCCAGCTCTCTTTGCAGGGTGAGAAGGTGCGATCCCCACAGGGACAGCAACCCTTTGCAGGAGGGTCTCTTTTTCAGCAGTAGAGCAAAGGGCTGGGGTCCTCTGGCTTTGGTGGCTGCAGGGCAGGTATTTGCAGGCTGCTCTTTCCCAGCCAACAGCTGAGCCTCAGGAGTCTAAGGATTTCTAAGTCAATTAAGAGACTCACACTGAGGATCTGAACTGTGGGATGGACTAAGTAAAGAACTAGGCAATGCAGAGAGAACATGAAGAATTCTTATATGACAGTGATACGGACTGTAGGAAAACTGAAATTGAATGGACAATAAGTAAGAGGGAAAACAAAACTTACAGATTTACATTTGATCCTTTAACTCAACTCTGAGTTAGCAAGGGGGGAAGCAGAGGGAAAATCTCACCTTGCTCATTTCAGCTGTGGGACTGTGCATCAAAGCCATGCTGGGACATGGCAGACGGGCATTCCTTTGTGAATTCAGGCAACATATAGGAAGCAGATGCATTCTTTTATTAATTTGTTGCCAGCATTAAACTCATTAAGTCTGTGCAGTGCTTCAGGCGCCCAGGGTGCCTAACAGGCTGATTTCTGCAGGTCGCTCAGGAGGTAGCTGAAAAGCTTATGGAGGGAGAGAGCCAGCAGCTTGGGAGGCTGCTGGGGAGACTGGAGCACCCAAGCTGCTCCTTGAACGTCCTCAAGGTAATGGCCCTGTCCATTTATCTGGCTGTCCGCAAAGGTGCCTGGACCTTTGGTCTGGGGTTAGGAGCATGGGGAAGGGGGAACTGTGGGCTCACCCCTGAATGACTCCCATCTCCCTGGTGTCAGTTGTTGGATAAATGGGGTATGACTGGGATGGGCCTGGTCACTGCGTCCCTGTCCCCAGGGGCTGGTATGCATCTCTCCCCTCTGCCTCACAGATTCTCTACGCTGGCTGCCATGCCAGCCTGAGCCTGTGCAAGCACCTGGGAAGGAGCCAGCAGCTGTGGGGTTCCCTCATGCAGCTCTCGAAAGGCAAGGTAGGCCTGACTACAGCCCTGGTGGTGCGGTAGGAGTGTGGGCAGGCAGGACACATTCGTCTGAGCACTGCTCAGACCAGGCTGGGGGATGTGTGGGAAGAAGAGTTTGGGAGAGCTTAGTCTGAAGAGTGCAGTTCTCCTCCAGGGCCCAGAAACGTCCCTTCCCTCCCCGCCTTGCTGTCCCCCTGTGACTCCTGCTCCCTTGGCAGGTCCCCATGGCAGAGGTGGCCCAGGGGGCAGTGTGCGAGGCCTCCCTGTATCTGCTGGCCCTGCTCACCCTGCAGCTCGAGGCCTCCCCTCCCAGGTAAGCACTCGCTTTTGCTCATGGGTGGGAGAGAGCCCTGAACAGCCCTCTGCCCTGCACCCTGCCCAGAGCTAGGCTCCTGCTCCCACTGATTCCTCCGATCCAGACACATCAGCAGAGTTCTGGGCAGCATGGGTGGGTGCTGGGGATGCGGTGAGGACCCAGCGTGGACAAGGAGGTGCTGTGAACCAGGGCTCACTCCTGCAAGGTGGCTGTTTCCCAGCCCTGGGGGTATTTGGATGCTGCTGCTCTGTGGGATGTGAAGCTGTGGGAACATAGTGCTTCTCCCCGGGTCCCTGTGTTTCAGGCTTGAGGAGGTGGTTACCCTGGCCACAGATCTCATCATCCAGTCTCCTGTTGTCTCCCTTGTGGTAAGTCTGCCCACCATGCCAGAGCTGTCACTGAGACCCCTGTAGAGCCCCATGTCCTGGCTGGGTCCTACCGTTGCTTGCTCAGGGTGGGATGGGGCCAGGCACAGCCTGGCTGTCCCTGCCCTGGGCTGAGGGATGAAGAACCAGCATTGAGTGGGCAGATGGGAAAGTTCCAAAGGTGCTGAGCTCTCCCTGTCCCACAGGGTGCTGCAGCATTCCTCCTGACACAGCTCAGTCAGCACGGGGTGGCCTTCGAGCTTCGGGGAGAAGAGATCCTACCAGTGGTGACAAATGTCCTGACAGCACCTGCTGAGGTACAGGATGGGGGCAGGGGAGCCATGCTGTCACCCCACTGGAGGTGGTGGTGTGCAGTCAAAGACAGGGTCAGAAGGGTACAGTTGTGGTGCTGCTGCCCTGAGACCCAGCACCTAGCTCCAGCCTACTCTCTCTTACAGCTGCAGCTCCCTCC